AAATATAGGACCCCGTATTATAGGAAATTTAGACCAATACCCATTTATTTGACAAATTGAATTCAATAAGAATAGCTGCTCCTCTCCATAGGCGCAACCATAGCCCTATATTGAAATTATATCAGCTGAAAATAATTTCAAGCAATATATTATATGTATTGCTAGCAAGATCAATGAAAATGATATAGAGATTTTCCGTTATTCTATAAGATATTGATATATAGATAAATATGCTAAAAAGATCTCATAATATAAAAATCTAAAATATCGATATCTATCGAATATATATATATATATATTCATTTTTTAGATAGTTGGGAAGAAAAATTCGATAATATTTCTTTATGCAATCATTCTTTTTAATCAATATCTCCCGAGAGGTAATTTTACGTCATAATTATCTATATATCTTATAGAAGATATAGCAATATCCTATCAGAATAGAAATATAATATTAGAATTATATCAGATAGAAATTTAGAAGAATTTAATGAGATTAATTCATTTCAAATTAAGATATAATAACACGACGAATCTTCTATCCGACGAGATATGAAGAATATATCTTAATAATATTATCGATATATTTGCAAAGAAATCATTGCTAAGAAAAAGATATAGAGATCTTATCATAAATATTATAAACTCCTTCAAATGGTTTATCTTAATGATTCCTAAAATCTCGCAAAAATTCCGTATCTTTTTTTTCTTCTAAATAATCCTTGAAAATCATATGCGAAATTTCTCTATTATTCTTCAAAATATTTTCTATAGAAATGAATATATCAAAAATATCTCATAAATATGTTAAATGAATGCAAAAATCAAATAAATAATTTCTCGAATGAAATGAAGAATTGAATAAATATATTTCGATAGAATAATTGAATATCATATCAAAGAATTTTGCAATCAAGAATATCTTTCTAGATAATTCATTATATCAAATCTCATAATTTCATATAAATTCATCTTAATTTCTCAATATCTTAGAAATAGATTTATATCTCCTTAAAAAATTATCGAATATTATATCGCATCAGATTTTGATTCCTCTATTTTTCAATTATTTCGAATATATAGATTAATAATATGATTATTATGATAATTCATCTCCTAAATTCAGAATTATTTCGATCATTAATCTTCAATCAAATTATTTATAGAATTCTTATGCAAAAATCATCCATTTGAAAAATTCTATTCTTTCAAATCTTTATAATATCCTATTTATTGATGAATATTATTACGAAATATATTCTCATTCGAATGATATATTCATCGCATCTATTTATCGATCTCAATGAATAAAATATCTTTTCTATCCTCTTTAAATAGGATACCTAGGCATTGAAGAATATTTCCTTCGCAAATAAATGACCTCGTAGAAATCTAATATTCCTTTCATGCATATCATCACGAATTTTCGTCCGTAGGCGGAAATCCAGATCCTTACGAGTTTTTCATCGTGAATTTTCGTGGAAGCACGCCGATTTTTCTTTCGCGAAATCCAAAGTTCCTTTCGCAAGTTTCATCGCCCCCTTTAGGGCAAGGTCTTCCAAGATCGCCGCAATCGTTTTTATGCAAAAATTTCCGCCTCGGGCGATGCTCATCTATTCAAATCAATTATTCTTCTATTCGTAATTTATCGGTCTATACGCCTGAAAATTCAGAGAATATTCCTTTTGGATTAAGCCCAATTACATTTTGAACGGTCCAAACTGGACCGCGCCGCAAAACGTCAGACTAAGAAATCGATATGAGGATATGCTCTGGTCCGCAACCTCTTGTCCGCGAGCCATCGCTCCATGACTACCTTGGTTACATGAAGATTTGATGAGAGTCGTAACAGTCAGAGTTGTGGCAATGGTGGCGGTAATGGCAACTGCGTACGGGAAAAGTAAGGGTACGAAAAATAGTGTAATAGTATAAGCTTCCAATGGCAAGCAAGTCCGGGTCACAAGCAGTGCCTGTAAGCGCGTACTTACACCTTCAAGCCTACTTACATTTCATTCAACTGGTCAAATGCAGAGGCATGTCTGCACGTCCCTTAGGATTCCAGGGCTTCCGTTTCTACAATCGGCATGGGAGGGATAATCGGGCACCAGAAAAAAAACTGTTCTGGGCCTGAGTTACAGTCTGGAGTCTGTTGGGGCCCCCAAACCCAAACACATAATAACTAAGGGGCGTCTATCATTGAGCCTGATCCTGTAGAAAGGGCCACAAAATACATTATGGAGAGCCTCTCCAATGCACAGGGTCCAACAATACCTTTCTTGTTGAGAAAAAGCTCTGGAATTATAACTTCCACCGCCGCCACCACCACCAAGCTGACCACCACTACGAAACCCGCTGCTGCTACTACACTACTACTACTACTACTACTACTACTACTAGTACTAGTACTAGTACTAGTACTAGTACTAGTACTACTTCTACTGCTGCTGCTACTACTACTGCTGCTGCACGCTGCTACGGAAGTGAAAGTGCAGTGGCAGTGGTAGTGGTTGCAGTAAGAGCTCCAGCCCTTCAGGTGCCTTGCCGGCGTGCGTTCTTACCCTACCCTGCACTCTGTTTGTGAGTGTAGGGGCGGGTAAGGGGTGGGCACAAGTAATAAGGTCGTTCAGCATGACCAAGTAATAAGGTCGCCCAGCATGGCCAAGTAATAAGGTCTTTTGCAGTGGTGGTAGTAGTGGTAGTAGTGGTAGTAGTGGTAGTAATAGCAATAGCAGTAGCAGTAGCAGTAGCAGTAGCAGCAGCAGCAGCAGCAGCAGGAGTAGTAGTAGTAGTAGTAGTAGTCTGACTTGCGGGTTAAACTGGGAGGCCAAAATCGCCCAAAACTTGAGAAACTATAGCAATGGACCAACTGCGTCAACTGCATTTCGGGATTCATTGTTGCTTGGGCTACACTGCCGAGAACTGCTTGTTTGTCAGCGTTTAGGTTTCAATGTTCTCCCAAAGTCAAGTTGTTCGAGGCTTGCGGGCTCAGGGATGTCGAGTCTATACTTTGACCCCTACACCCGCTGGAGCTTGAGGACTTTGGGCTTGGAAATCTGGTTCCAGTCATGATGGTAGCTGACTTCCGACAGTAGGGAACCAAAAGACGGGCAGCGTGGCTTGTTATTTCTACCCTTCCTTGGAAGCTGAGCCTTAGGCCTACACACTCGAAAGCTTTCTGAACTCGGCCACCGCGATCTGGTAACCTGCTCTCCCCCAAAATGAACACGTGGAACCCCATGTAGCCCCTGTTTGAAAGTGCTGGTCTTTACAGGCTGCCTTCTGAAATTCCGTGCTCCAGCCCTGCAACCCTTGAACCTTCAACCCTCACATTCCGAACCCTGAAGCCCCAAGCCGTAAGTCCTAAATCCCATTGAAATCTTCCCATTGAAATCTTACAAAGCTTCAATACAGATGCCATACATGTCTTTTTCTGTGCGGAAACCATGATAAAAGGAGTGGGTAGATTGTTGGCACTTTTTTGGGCCAGAAGCTGGCCGGAAACATTGCCAAGCTTGGGTAGAATGGTCTAGGTTTTGAAAGGTAAGCCAGGTAAGCCCCAGCTGTTGAGAAGATGCCTTATATCTACAATCTGAACCCCATGCTCCACGAATCGGTTCACATCCAGCTAACCTCTCCGGCTCCGCATTGCTGGTGGTTAGCAGCAAACAGCGGGTGTATACTCTGCCTAGAACGGTAATATTTGATACTGCTTGCTTTGGGAGATGCTATTGTAATATGAGGCCATCCTAAGCTCTAATCCCCTAGAACTTTAGACCTTATTTATAGACCCCAGACCTTCAGTTTTGAGCCCTTCAGTAAGCCTCTGTTGCTCTGAAACTAGCCGTGGAGCTGCATGGCATTGAGGGTCTTTGCCTTGTCCAGGCAGGACGAAACGTCCAGGTCTTCCAAGGCATCAAAGAGGGAGCCCTTCTTTCCTCAGGGCTCAGGGTTTGGTCACCTCAACCTGTTAATGGTTTAAGATGTTTAAGGTTTACGAAAATTGCAAAGGAGGTTTTGTTAAATCGCAGGCGCCTCCTGAAACCCAAGCTTTCCCTTGAAGCTCGCATAGGGGTTAGTTCAGAAACTGCTAGCTGGAGAGGGGTGGGTGCATTGTTCTGAGGAATGTGGACGATGTCTCCCACATGGGGACTACATGGGGGAGCATGAAGGTTTCAGGGCAGCCGGTCCACCCCCAGTGTCATACATACTGGATGGTCTGTGGCTCGCGAGGGCTTTAGCGGGACGTTGCATTTCCAGTGGTTGGTAGGCAAGCTTGGGATGCAGTGCGAGCACGCCATAACTTTGATTCACTCACAGCCCTGCCCTGAAGCGTCCAGAGCTTCCGATAGGAAAACCCTGGTGTCACGCTGCCCCCGCTCCTTGCCCCTCCCCCACTCTACTTCCTCGGCGCCTTGCAAAGCCTCAACAATGCGGACAGCGCGAAGCAAGTGCAACTACTAATATCAATTTGTGATCGACTTGAGGCACCCTAGACTGTCATGATACATTGCTCTCTTTTCCAGGAGCTCTGGTTAAACAAGCTAATGGTGTCCGAATACTCATAATGCCCCTATCATAAGCATCCTACCTCAACCTGTAAGCTAAGAGTACTAGGGAGATTAAGAACGTGTCAATATCACAAGGTTCATGGGAGGAGACGCGGAAGTCAGGAAACCTCTGCACCAAAAGCAAGCACAGGCACCGAGCTTTATACAAGCACCCAACTTGCGATTCTCGCATCCAAACACCAAGACAGGGTCCACACATACGATGCAAGCTAAATGGAACAGGATCTTGAAGTGTGTCAAGGTAAAGGCTGTCATGCAGAGGCAATCATTAGCAAGGATTCGTAACATTATTGTCACTATTGCTATCACTACGGCGAGTTGGGGGAACCAACCCTAAACCCTAAGTTGTTTGGGCTGGTAGAGAAGTGCTGAAGCGCCCAGTGTCCTTCTCCAAGCTTGACCTCCATCGCAGCGGCTTGGGGCCCTAAACCCGAGACATCTTACGTAGCATTGTCCTACCTGTACCCGTATGGGTTTAGTGTTTAGGGTTTAGGGTCATCATATTGCTGTTGCTATTGTTCTGGTGTTGTTATTATTTGCACAGAAATCTCTCGAAAGCGTAGATGTGAGGGCCGGCATTTTGCTGGGTTCACGATCAAATTTTACATTAAGCTTGAGGCTTAAGGGATCGCGATGCTGCTACTCCTTACTGGGCCCTTTTTCTATCTTGTCTTCAGTTCTGGGTCCCTCGGAACTCAGACTCCTACGAATTCTATTCAGGAGCTATTCATACTTCCCGTAATATTCTTGCTACAGTGTGGATCCCGGTAGCAATCCATATGTTTAACTTACCACTCCCCCAAAAAAAAAGCCAGCAAGCAGGCAGGTGGAACGTGTTCTGGTTTTACCCTAAGGCCCTAGCCTGAATCCGAAACTGTGGCTTCATTTGGGGTTGGGGGCCTGGAGGTTGGCAGCTTTGGGTGGTAGGTGCTTCATTTTAGGAACCTTTGGATCAGTAATCCACTTTAGGGTTTAGGGTTTAGGGCTTAGGGTTTAGGGTTTAAGGGTTTAGGGTTTAGGGGTCCCCCAATTTCTGGGAGCCACTAGGTACCAAGGGGAAGAAGGTTTCAGGCGCCATCTTGCTGGAATTCATACCTGCCTCCCTTCATGTACTCTCCTGGCCCCCAAGAACCCTCCGGCCGGTAATTATCAGGGCCCCGCAATGTAAGCATTACAGCTGCCGGGAGCTTCGTATACGGACATGTCTGGGCTTTTGAGCGCTACCCCACTGCAATGGCCTGAACTGCTGATGTAGCGGGCTACAAGTACAGTAGGGTTCTAGGATTACATATATACGTATATGTGTATGGGCAGGACTCTTAATTACTCAGGCTTCTACATTATCAGGGGCTTCTCCATGCCATCGGCTGCATGTCTCCAAATGCTAGCAACTTCATGTACCACAACCAGCGCAACTAAGACGCAATGAGGACGCCATGTGCTCATCTTCTAGGACAAACACTGTGCCACCTATAAATGAAGGTTAAGGACCCCCACGAACGGATCCATGGCTTGGAGCATACCATATTCTTGATAGTAGTCAACGCAGCTTTGGCACTTAGACGCTCAACCGTCAGCTGCATATCCAGAGCCCTAATCCTGACTTCTGAGACCTTCAGCCGTAAAGCCCCAAACACCTTATAGCTTTGGCAAACGCCAAAGAAGACTCTGCCTGTGGATCCACAGACCAGGCTTTGATTGTGGACTCAGACAAGCCAGCTCGGACAAGTGCAGAGCAGAAGGAGTCCTTCTGCGGCTCAGGTTTTATTGTTTCGGGGTTATAGCTTAGGATTCAGGTAAGGAGAAGTTGGGCGGAGTCTGGGTTGTAATTAAGGAATGTCAAAAGCATTCCTCATCGTTCACAATAGGTCAACTCTCTCGGGGCTTTGGGTGCGGGATTCCGTCCGCTCACAGCTTGCACCAAGATAAAACTACCAAGTGTGGCCACAACACCTGATTCTTCTGACACAAATAACCCCAAACTCTCAACCCTAGACAGCGTTAATGCTTGCCACTGAAACTCCCAATGGCCTGTAGCACTGCTGGGGCTGCATTACCAAGGAGTCAAGGGAGCTGTTGCGCCGGTTAATGGCCTGGGGTTTAGGATTTTTAATACTCGAAATAACAGCCGTCGTAAGAATGAAGATCGTAATAGTAATAGTAATTATAGCCATGTTAAAACTTTCCATGTCATCTCACTCTAGAATTCCTTCCCCTGCTTCAGAGTGCTTTCAGATCGCAGACCGATATGACCCTGGCGAACAAGCTCTATCAAAGCCAGTTCGTGTTTGCGCAGCCTCGCCGTCACGAACGTTGCAGCCATGTTGCCCTCCTATAATCCAAAAACCTTCTAGAACCTGTCTGAGCGGTCACTTGGAGAGTTTGAGCCGATGTTGAAACACGCTCTTCACATTGTTCGGGTTTGGGGTGCCAGCAGAATAAGGATCATCCCGCTTGAATCACTCCCGACAGCCCGCAGGACCGAGGGAGCGTTGAACAGGACAGGTTTATTGTTATTGCTTTTTTCTGCTCCCCCAACTGCTAAACAGAGTCGCAGCAAGGTTGAAGAGAGTGCAAACAAGATAGCGAAGCCCTTAACGCCCCGAAACCCTTAAACCCCAAACCCCTAAACCGTGCCTTCTCAGTCCGATGCGCGTGCCTAAGCCCCAAACACCAAAATCCCCAAGCCCCTACCCGCTAAACCTTCAAACTCCCTAAACCCCAAACCCAACCCCTAAACCCAAACCCCCAAACCCCAAACCATAAACTTGAAACACCCCTAACCCCCAAGCCCCTAAACCGTAAACCCTTAAACCCCCAACCCCCCAAACCCCTAAGCCCCGAAGACCCTAAGCCCCTAAGACCCTAAGCCCTAAACATTTTCGCATTTCCATGAACCTCAGGGTCCTTGCGGCACGGCATCTCCAACCAGTTCATACGCTCAGCCATGCCCTGCTTGCTTCAAAGAATGTGGGAGGTTCTGACTATCATCAGGTTAATTGGGGGTTTCCTAAAATTAGGGGGTACCCTTTTGAGGGTTCCCATAATAAGGATTCTAGTATTTTGGGGTCTAGATTGGGGTCCCCTACTTTGGGAAACTACCACTTAGGTTTTAGGGTAGAACTAGGGTAAAGGGCTAAGGGTTGTATCCATTATGATGGCAATCGCAGTTTTAACAGTAATGGATCTGGTAGTAAAAGTTAGACTGACAGTGCCAGTTCCTGTAATAAGTAGCATGCAATGGTTATGGTATGTTGGGTCCTTCTTTGTGGCAGTCTGGCTGAGGATCGTATAACATCATGGCTTCCCTTCCGAGAACATATCGCAAAGACTTGGACTCTTATATAGGGAGACCCCATTGAATAACTCCCCCAACTTTGTGAAGTGCATAAGACTATAGTAATATGAGTGAGATTAAGGCTTTTGGGGTCCACATTCACACGTCACTAAACGCATGGCTTTCTTTGCCTCGAAAGGGGAGGCAGAAGCGTGGACTCCGTTGTCGCCGACGTTGGGTTCCGACTTGAGGCCCAAGGCCTGCCAAGATGCTTGCCATTACTTTCCTCGGGTTCGTAGGGAATGAAGATAGTAGGGGGTAAGGGTGAATAAGGGAATATGGTATAATCCCTAGTTAATCCTTATTCCCTACTAGCCCCCAATAAGATGAAGTGGGGCAGTGTAGTGGGGGTCTGGGGCTCAATGGCCGAATGGCCTCCTTTCTCACGGGTCCTTGTAAGTTAAATCCAGGATCTTACCGTTCTGTGGATGTACAGGTGGCCCGACTTAAACTATGTCAGACTCAAGATCTGCGAATGTGCTCGCAAAACCCCGAAAGCCCATTTACAATGCCAAGGAGGTGCGCTGGAGAAGCAAGAGACCCTTCATGATATCATATCTTCTTGGATAAGACCTCAAGAAGACAAGGATAAGTTCAGGATATGCTCTCAAAAACCAAGCGTGAAACTACATGCCTCTCCAGTTCAGGGTTTGAGCATCGTAGGGCCCCATGTCCATTGCATCACAAGCCTTCCAGTCTGCCAAGATCTTCCCACGAAGTGAGTCCTTCACATTGGGCATTGTGGGATTAGGGCTTAAGTTAAAAAAGCGTCAGGACCGCCGAAGGGTTGAGAAGCCCGGGTTTGGAATCAGGTGGCCTCCAAATTGGGAATTGGATGCCACCAACATCTTCAAATGGCACAGAAGCTTGCTTCTCTGGCAGAAGTCCTATTTCATCCAGAATGGTAGAAGTGAAAGGGCGCAAGAGAACCGCGGAAGCCCAGAAGAAGAAGAAGGCTGTGAGCGGGCAAGCTTGGTGAGAACTGAGGGTTGGGAAGGTCAGGAGCTCGGACATTCAGGAACACTTGCAAATGGATCCTGGAATCTTTGAAGCAAAATGACCCCAACCCTTAATCCAGACACCAAACCTTACAAACCAAGGTGTTGAGTTTCCTGGCTCGAAAAAACGCTGACCTTTTAACCCTGCTTTAAAGGCTACCTACTCAAATACTCAAATAAGCCAAAGGCGATCCTTTGGAGCTTGAGCCGGGTCAGTTGGGCCCAGAACTTTGCCGCGGAAGTCTTCCCAGGACAGGTCCTTCTCATCCTTGCTCCAGCGGGAGCTTCACGATATTTATGGGAGTGCCCATACTTACGGTGGGTGCTGTTTGGGCCGGCGCTGTTTGGAGGCAAGGGCCTGTATTTTTGAGCGATACAAGACTATTACTGTGCCTTGAGTGGGGACGAACTCGCCATGGTGTAGGCCATACGGTAGCTGAACCAGAATCATAGGGTTCATGGTACAAAGGGAGGTAGCCCTAGAAAGAGCTGGACTTGCTACATCTAGCACATTCTCACCATCATCGCCTACAATGGTATCTTGACCAGAAAACAACTTGAAACTGGCAACTGCCACTTTTAGGATGTGTTGTTCAGGCGGTACCGAGCAAATGGGAAGCCCCGCGATTTGCGGCCCGGGAAGCTGTCCGGCTACATCAACTGAACTCGAGACCATAGCGATTCTAACAAAACCTGGGCCCCTGAAGCATGTAGTCTTAACAGTGTTCAAACAATCCTGAAACCAAAGTTGTGCGGTCCGTTTCTCAACACGTCAGCAAGTGTCTATGTGCTCGACACAAGCGCATTTCCTATTTAGAGAGTTATGGCTTGCATGTGGACAGCTAGCACTATGGGGGGAGGAGCCAGACAAGAAGTAGGGTGGATGTGGGGCGTCGTGTCTGGGACCTATCCAAGAAACGGCACCATCCCGCCAGTGTCCTCCAAACTATACCAGAAGTTTTGTGAGGATTTGGGTTTTGAAGGGTAACCACCCGGATCAAAAGATGAAAGTTAAATGGCGCGATCATGAAAACTCCAGCCATCCAGCCCAAGCATATGATGCATTGTGGTACTCGGACTTAGACTAGCAGTGCCTGTGCGTCTATGCATTACATACGCGCCAGATCAAAACTAATCGCTACTCATGGAAACCCCCCAAAGTTGCTGGCAGCCCCGCCAGCTCTGGCATCATCTCACTCTGACTCTACACCGCCGAACACACTTGCACCCTTTATACAGGGTAGTTCAGAATAATTTCAATTCCTAATTTAAAACCATTTTTGGTACTATTCCCTATAAGCCACGCTTTAAATTGCCCAGTTTATAAGCCTGTAAATCAAGGAAGCGTGGGGGCCTCTTTTGAGCGGCTGGTTTGGTGTGCGTGCCAGGCTTCTCAACACAAATTTTGGTTCCCAGCAAACCCTTATAAGCCCTTCAGGTCCTCGTGAACCTCGGCAGTGACCCAGCAATGGCGGATACACCAATATTAGGGTAGCCAAGAAGCCCACTCCACGGTGTAGTAGTGGATGCTCTTTCCAGGAGCAGTGAAGTTACTCCGCATGCTCATGAAGAAGCCTCAGCTCCCCCATGGCTCTTCATGATTGGGAGTGGTCCCAAATTTCAAGAAACATTATATGCTGTTCCTATCAAGTGCTCAGGGAAGCTGACTGAAAGCTGCAAAAGAATGCAAACTCTTCAGTTCAGAGTTTAAAGCTTAGGTATATTAAGAGCCGAGAACTTCAGTGTAAATCCTCGGCTCCACGTCTTAACTTCTCCCCTTCAATCTGAAGCCATGACCACGGCCCCTAAGCTCATCCTGCATATTGGTACCATGTTGGACATATCTATTACTAGGGCCACTAAGGGATGGCAGACTTCACTGCCCACAATAACCCCAGGCTGCCTGCCTGCTTGGGTTTAGGTTTTGAGGGGTGACGGTTTAGGGCGGTTCAGGGTAAACTCAAACTCCAAATCCTCAATCCCTAGTCCTACATCCCATGTGTTCAGACATGCTCCGCCTCCGCTTAGCCGAGGTGCCGTTAAAGACGAAGATGGGCTTCCGCCCGGACATTTCCTTGAGCATGGTTTGTTCTAGAAGGAGGGTGCGTCGAAGTTGCGGGGACGCCTTTAGGAGCACATTAAAGGTGTTGTGAATGGATATCCGAGGGGCTTAAAAGAGGGCCCGTAGGGGCCCGGGAATTACATGATGCGAATAGGTATCTGATTGAGCATTAAGCAGGAAGTTTGTTGAGAAACTAATAGTTTGCTAACGTCCGAGAGCTGAAACTTTATTACAGAAGCCTGGGCGTTTCAGCAGGAGCAGCCAGTATGCCAAACTAAATTTGAGCTTCCTGCGCTTGCCACGCAAGCTGAAAGTTAAGTTATATACACAAGGTTTAAATCATCCTCACCCCACCCAGTAATAGTGGCTATAAGGGATAATAGGGATTATGTTAGGGTCCTCTTATATTCTTATTATACCACTATTACAGGGTGGGGGGTCCTCCTAAGTTTAAATCCTACTCACCCCACCCTGCAGCCATGGATCCACTCTGCCGCAGTAGAAGCCGCCACCGAACTTAGCCAGCTTCCCTGCCTGCAGGGGAAGTAAAGGTTTAGGGTTTAGGGCTTAGGTTTTAGGATGTTTTAGGGTTTAGGGCGGGTTTAGGGGGCTTTCCATAAATCGAGGGCTCTGATATAGATCCCAACATTCTGTTACCATGCCGGCTCCCCAAACAGGGGCCCGATATTTGCCCAACATTTTTGGAAACCCTCCTGTGGGTGCTGAATGTGAGGTTTCGGGTTCAGGCTTCAGATTTGGGAGTGTGTTCGCCAAAACATACCTAAACCCTAATACCCTAAACCCTATAAACCATACACCAAAAGAATGGCCCCAGCTTCGCGACCCAGAATGCTACAGGCGCTGTACTGCACCCAGAAATCTGGGCACCTAAGGATGCCTTCAAGTTGCCCAACACTAGCAGAGGGTACCAGGTTGGGTGGTTCTACTTCATAGATCCCTTGAAGGGCCGGGCAAGAAGCCAAAGCAGCTCATATGGCAAGGCGTGATTCTGTGATGTTAGGGTTTTTGGTTTAGGGTTTAGGGTTTAGGGTCTGCAATGAGAGGGGTGTGTCATTCGCGCTCACCTCATGTTGATACGAGCTGTCCAAAGCGAAAATGGGCTGATGGACTGCCAACGCAATCCACTTGATGATCCTTGTATTAAGAGTGGCCTTCTCGCCCCTGATTGAATTCTGAAGGATGGTACTGCGCAGAATTCATGTGAATGCCCAGGTCTTCTGAATAATAGGGACGGCCGCAAATCATAAGGATCACATCCCAAGTCCTCCGAAGCACAGCTCCCCAATGCCCCCCAAATCCGAATACACGGGCCTGCCCAAACAGTCATGAACGTGTTTTTTGGGGGGTATGATGTACTCTGCTTGTTGAAGGTGTTCAAGGTAGTAGCTCATGCTTGTACGGTACACATGCAGCCTCCCATTACCAGCAGAGCCATGCTCTCCAGCCCAGCACAATTCCCTGAGGCCAACTCATAATTAAAGACATGAGACGCGAGCCACGGTTTAGGGTGATCACCAGCCGCTGGGCCTTTGGGGGCCAAGACTGCAGCGTTATTCCTTATAGACTAATATGTTCCACTCTGATTATCAATGGCTCCAAACCAAAAACCAACATCCAAATCCTCATCTCAATGGCAACGAAGCCCGTAATTGGCTCCAGAACCTTATTCCCCATATGGTAGTTTCTATTTTCTTGTCCATTATCCCTATCTAACCCCAATATACTATAGTAGCTTCCATTTTCTTTTTCATTATCCCTACCCTAAACCCTAAACCCTAAACCCTTTTGCTTCAATTTTCTTTTCCATTATCCTTTCACTGAGGCATGGAGGCCTTCTTGCATGCACCCCAGGCCGCGTTGAGCTCATCGGGGCTGCAGTTCAGCTCCTGGCTAGTTCAACCCTCTTTCGGCACTCAGGGTTTAGGGGGTTTAGGGTTTAGGGGGTTTAGGGTTTAAGGTTTTTTGCTGGGCATAGGATTTTAGGGTTTCCATGGCTTAGGATTGGTGGTGACCGAGCGGGCACTTGTTTGGTTCAATGCCGTTGAGGGTAGTAGAGTGGGACTTCACTAAACTTCAGGTGTCCAGCTTATGGCTCTTGGATAGCGATTTGGGGACAGCTGCGTGGAAATGAGTTTCAAGGTCTTTTGGCGTCGTGGAATGGCCAAAACTTGCGCCGCCAGAATCTTCTAGATGACGGTTGCTGCACAACCAGGCCCCTGCCTTAATATCTAGATTACCCAAAAAAGGACTGATCTTTTGGCAACCTGATCCCTTATCCATAGTCCAAAGCATCGCGTGGCAGGCTCTCAAGGGATGCGTGAAGGACACATAGTAATATCAAAAAAGCGCTGAAAAGGGCTGTTGTGTTCTTGGTTGATGGAAAAGCAACATGTGCACCAGTACATCGCCATGACACTTCCTGCCAGTACACATGATGGTCCCTGCAACTCATGGCTTTGACAGCAATCGCCAAGTCCCAACTCTGAACCCTAGACCCACAGTTCCCAAAGTCTAAACTCTACTACTCAGCTGAAAAGCAGGCGGAAACCTCAAGCTCTAACTCTAATCCCTGAAGCCTAAGCCGTAAACAATGCAACCCACAGAAACACCCAATAGATCGAAAGTCGTAAGCCCTGAACAGCGCCAAACAAACTACCCCGAGCCACTGAACCCCAAACAGCTCCAAACCCTTGACTGTAAACGGCCCCAAGCCGTTAACAGCTCTTCATCAGCCAGCTGCTAAGAAACCCCTTTTCGTTACCCGGTCCCCTGGCAATGGCAAACCTGGCCCCCCCAAAGCCCATAGGAGTTTAGGCTTTATGGTCCGGGGTTTAGGGTTGAGGGTTCTGGGTTTACCATAACCTGAGGATCTTGAGACACGCAAGATTTCCCAATTTCCTCCATCAACGATAGCTAATGGATCCCTCTTGGGCAGAGACCCTCAAATAGCCCAATGGAAGTATTACTAATACTAGGTTCCCCAATAACCCCCTACTATTCAGCTTTTAATAAGGAGACCCCAAATAAAAAGGGGAAAAGGATACTACTGGGGTACCTAGAATAGAGCTTAGGGCCCAAAGGAATTAGCTTCAGATTTTGAAGGCCAACGCAGGGCCTAAACCCTCAACCCTCAAAAGCCTTAAATTTAAGACCCAAAGCAGGGCCTAAACCCTCAGACCAAAAGGCCGAAACCGCTTTAGGACCGAAAGTGGGGCCTTTTGCAACAGGCTTTGGGATTTAGGACCCAAAGTAGGGCCTAAACCCTGAACCCTAGGTTTTACAGACTTGTTCCGACCTGTCCTTGCAGGCATCCATGGCGTTGAAAACGAGGCCCTGCTTCATGGCGTCATCCCAGGAAATGCCAAACCTCGGGTTGAAGATGAAGCTTAGGCTTTTCAAGATTTAGGGCTAGGGGATTTCAAGGTTTAGGGTTTAGGGTGCCTGGTTTGGGCTTTAGGGCGCTGAACCTAACACGATGTCAATAACAACGTGGACAAGACCTTTCAGCTTCCTTAGCTACAAAAATCAAGCCTGTGGTAATATGTTCCCAAAATTATGGGCTTTTGGTTTTGAAATATTTGACGGCACCTACTATTTAGGGCACCGAAATCGGAGCCTTATTTTGGGAACTACCCTCGTAACTAGATAGGAGGATTGTCTAGGTAGAGATATGCCAGCATGGACAACAATTTGCGCATCTATCCCCACACCTCTTGACGATGCATGAGCCCAAGCGCTGAACCCTAAACTCTACCCTGTTTGTTTCCCTAAGCCCCAAACCTTTTCCCCACAAATCCCAAATCTTTTTCCATGAGGAGCTGGTTCTGGAACTTCTCCTTTGGCACATTCAGCTCGGAGGGCTTTAGAATCGTTGCCTGGCGGGGAGAGGCTGCGTGAAGTACCGCAGGACTCTGTTTCATTCGAATAAGGTCTCGGGGTATGTAGTGCCCTAGTTACATCAGGATTGCAGGGGAAAAATGTTGGTCCATATTCTAGATGTCAACCGAAGCCTACAGGGTCCAGCAGCAGGATGTGGGCATTGCACAAAACGGGCCGTCTACAGTCTGGAATCGAGGGAGATCTGCCGCACACTTTCTGTGTCTTTCTTTTAAGTTCTGCCACGATGACAAACTGAAACGACCTTTCTTGCTTCTTTGAAGAATGTGCTAGCAGTTTCACATCAGGTCGGGAGTGAAAGAACGTTGTGTAACGGCTGCGCCTGACTTTCTTCAGAATCCTAAGACCTGCACCCTCAAATCCCAAACTCTGAATCCTTAAACTTCAAGCCTGCCTAGAGACCCCGCCCGCAGAGCCTTGGATGCGATGGCATAGTAGTGCCTGGGCAGACGTTGATGCCAGGCTAGGTTGATTGATGGCAGAAAGCTTCCAGTTGAAGACTCACGAGGCAGGGAAAGCTGAGCATTCAGGATTTTCATGTCTCTTACAATCACGACTCGTCGGATGCTTACTTGTGGGGCAAATAACTTGAACCGCGCGGTCATATGCAACGCTCGTTTCGCAAACTATGATCTCAATGATGACTTTCATGGTCCAGGCGGGCCCACCACAACCTGCGGATACCTTCAGCCCTGAGTTGTGCGTCATCCTTACTACAGCAGGTATAGCAACACCTACAGAAGTACCCTAAAACTAACCCCAGGCCCTCAAGCTATCCGCAGTATGCCTGGGGACCCGGCTGATCGATCAGCTTCTTCTGGTCGATCACTTCAGAGGTCAAATCCCCTTCTGAAGTGATCTTCAGACCCTGCGCTCTGCGCGGTGTGACTCAAAGCAGAATGAAGGAGTGCCTGGGGCCTACAGGAGAGAGAGGGAGAGACAGAGAGATGCCATATTGCAATAATCTTGGGCGTAGTCAAATCCTAAACCCCTAAACCTTAAACCCTAAATAGTAATTCTATTTTATTTGCCATTATCCCTATATAACCCCTATATTACCCCTATATAGTCCCTGCAACTTTTAGGAGCAGGGGTCTAGCTATAGCTCTAGCCCTTGTTGCCTTTTTGACAGATTTCTCTGCTAGGCCCCTCCAAGGCTGTACTTAGGAAGAAGCGGTAGCTTAGCTGTTGCTGTACACACGGGGGTTTCCCAAAATTAGGGGTACCTTTTTGGGGGGTCCCCATATTAAGGAGTATAATATTTGGGGTTCTTTTTGGGGTCCCCTATTTTGGGAAAGTACCACACAAAGAAAAACCCTACAGTGGGTTGGTTTCCCGGTCTTTAATGGCTACCCATCCCACCACCTCAGCTGCATGAGCTGCGCAAGTTTGTTTTAATAGAGGACCCCACAACAAGTGCCACGTGCCTGACACGTAATGCTCCCTAGCTGGAAGCTATCTTCAAATTAAAAGTGTCGCAGCCGTGACCAGCAGAATGGCTTAGGGAAACTTAGGATACTTACTTCCTGAGTTTCGAGCTCCTCTGGTAGCCCCTCTACAAAGTTCCGTGGAGTATTACTTGCCACTTATTGCACCTCTTACTCTCTCGAGTGTTTTGACTACTGTTGTCACTAGTACTCCTACGATTAAGGGATAAGCGGGAGAGTTCCAGCGCCTTCTTTGCAAGTTCAGTCCGGACAAGGCTGTTCGTCGACGGCGTCACAGCATGCGGCTTCACAAACCTGGGCTTTAGACTTCTCCTCTGCCAAACTAAACTGGGCCCCCCGCCCACCAAGAAGAGGGCTTTATCAGGACTACAGTCCTTATAGCAGGGGTGATATGAGATTCCGTGCTTGCCTGGGGGCATGTGGCATCTTAAAAGGTGCTGCGCAGCAGCTGGATCTTTGTTGAATCAACGCTAATGTTGGATTCTAGGGCGACTTAAGCTGTAAGATTTATATCAACAATGCCAACTCTGAGAACGGTTGTAGGACATAGCCATGTGATGTCAGCTCTAACCTTCACCTGGGCAAGTAGTACACTGTGACACCCTGTGCGGAACCTGATTAAGATTCTACAGAAGCTTCACCCTACATACCTGGGACCTGACAAACAGGTAAGCCCAAATCAAGGTCTGTTTGCCAGGGGTTCTAAACCCTCAGCCCTAAGCCCAAAGCCTATATCAGCCCGCTTGCCCAATGCCACTATCGCAGATGTTTCTTCCACTCACCGCATCATTTGCAAACTGCTTCAAAGCTCACTTTTGAGCTGAATTGTAACAGGGTTTAGGGGTGTATTGAGCTTTTTTTTTTACTTGCTGTCTGTGCAACTGGTCATTGGGGAATTGGTGAGTGCGTGATCGTTCCAAGTTTCCGGGTACATGTTGATGTTATCTGTTATCGTTTTCGGAAAATGGGCTATCACTTTCACTTTCTAATCAAAAGCCCTCCTTCACGAATCCAATGCCCATGCTCTACATACATACTTATATTTGTATATCTTATGAGCGATGAAAACTCCCCTCACAAAAGGCCTGCAAGGGAATAATCTTGGTCAATACTCAGGCTTCTACACTAGCCAGCGACTACGGCTGTTTCTGTATGTGCCGAAAAGTCATGGCATGCCTTAGGTTCCCATGAAGATGAAGACTCCACGTGGCAATTTGATTGCTGACGGCTAAGGCAGCCTATTGAACCTTCAGCTTCCCTCTCAAACATACGACACCTGAGTTGGGTTTGGAACGCATAGCTCCCCACCATCAACATGTGGCAGAAGTTCTTCAAGACTTTGGGCTTCAAAGCAGGAATGCCCCCCCCGCCTTAGGTGGTTGTGCGCTGTGCATTCTGCGCACACCCACCCACCCCGGCCCTCTTTGGCTTTGTACAACATATTGTATATCATCTCTATTTGCAGATTTCATACACTTACTTCAGTAGCTCCTTCCAATATATATTCCGGTATACTTGTTGCCACAGCCTGCTGTAATTTTCTCCGTCACTCTTCACATTTATCAGGCCTCATCGTATTATCCCCGCGACCCAAGCCAGACCACACCACAGGGTGGTGAGAGGGCCTGCAAGCCCACAAAAATGAAATCCCAATTATGCGAGAACCCGAAATCGGAACCCCAACTTGTGGAAAGCCACAGTTCTCCTCACGCCAGAGCAACCAGGGGGCACGAAGGCTGAATTTTGAGGCACGCTCCTCAGATGGTGGGCTCAGGGGTTGGGGTTTCAGGCCTTGGGGTTTTCGTGTTAGGGGAAACAGATTCTTACAATCTCGTCGTGTGCTAACAGAAACATTACAACCTCTTTCGGCCTGTTGGCCCATTCACCTATACATGAGCTATAGTCTAAACTCTTAGTATCCCCCTTAATAACCCCCATAGTAGTCCCCTAAATACTCCCCCATATAAGCCCCTTCAAGACTGCCCGCACCCTCAAACAGTCTTGATAAGAAAGGGATGATAGCAGCTGCAGGTCTGCTTGGGAATGTTTGTATAGCCAGGGGAGTATCCTGCCAGCGAGCCCCATGACGACAATTGCAACTCATTGAGCTGGCGCCCGCCAAGTTAAGTTCGCGACATGAATTTTATTGCTGTGTTAGTATCTGTTGATGCTACTTTTGCTGTATGCCTACTATAAATATTATTCTTACTTTCAATTTGTTTGTCTTGAGCTGCCACTTTGTCCTAGAACCCTAAGAAGCCTTACCATCCCAACTGACACTCCTATGACAGAAGCTGACCAACATTCATTCAATAGATTGAGCTGTGGGGCGTCGACTTGGAGTAGTAGTAAGCGGCTCCGGCAAGGGCACCCGCACCTGCCATTCTCCATGGGTTGAGGCTCAATTTAGGGTTTAGGGCTTAGGGCTTCAGGGTTTCAGGGCTAGGCAGGGTTTCAACGGCTTGTTGGTAAAGGAATGGAGCCTCCAATTGAACAACGGTGAACGTTGCCTGAAGTATCTGATTCCCTTTAAACGTTTGAGGTCTGCTTGGAGGGGGTACTACATTCAGCAGCCCCGTTCAAATAAATGAATTGTACCCCTCCCGCTAATATTCAACCCTCCCAACCCCCCTAATATGAATTAGATACCCTGCATTGTGGTGTATTATACAATATTGGGCGAATTTAACATGAGGTGGGTGGGAAGGTTTAATATTAGGAATTAGGGGGAGGGGATTCGCCACCTTCCAACTACGTACCGCGGTTTAGGTTTTGGGTTGGTGTTGAAAAATGGTCAGCCGGATCTGTAATAAGCTTCATCCGCGCTGAACACTTGCAGTCGGCTCTTGCGTGCAGCATGATGCAGTATGGCAACGACGGTACAAGGACATACCAGGCTAGCTATACTTTGACTTGAGTTTTCTTTACCTAGCCCTGGTCTCCCTGTTTGACAACCCTTCCTAGTACATGAGGCAGGGGCATGCTGAAATTGCTGCTGGCAAGTTCACGCATGACTTGAACTCAAACAGTAGGGGGTTCGACAAGTTCCCGGGGCCTTCCCATCTATAGTCGTCAGTTTGAAGCATCCCTTCTGAGTGCAAGTTGGGTTTTAGGACGTCTGAAGATTGAAAACCACATGGGTTGGCGTAGCTGACCATGTCGAAAATTGTAGGGGCCTTTGGCAAGTTGGCACTTAACTCTTCAGTAGGTATTCCCGCACCAGTTTGCTGTACTGGTTCTAGGGGTTTGATCAGCCTGAAGAGCACAGACGTGGAATCCGTCCTACCAGATTTATGCGTTAGATCCTTGCTTGCCCCTGGTTAGCAAGGAATGAAGCAGTGCATCCTCATGGTAGTCCTTATATAACCCCCAATAGTATGATACTTTCCTTAGTCTTTTCCATTCCTCATTCCCTTCCAACCAGAGGTACGGCTAGTGATCTTGCCCGGCCCACGACATGGGCCTGTCCGAAAACAGGATTCCCAGCTCTACCCCAGAAGGTTATGATGCTTACTATTGGGACTGCTACAAGACGGCGCCCAAATCTTGACTTCCTGAAATCAGGACATTGAATTCCATGCGTGCTTCCGCTGTGCCTGCAACTCCAGCAAAAACCTGGACCAGCTCCCAGATGGGGCAAGGTTACAGTGTTCGTCTGGTACAGTATTCTCGCTGGGGCATCGTGGCGCTGTTTCCAAATATAAGGTAGTGCTTTGCACCAGGTACGCCTGCTTGACAGCGCAGAGATGGGTGTAGACGCTCTAAAACGGAAGCTTTTAGAGACCGTACGAATATGTATGGGGATTGATTGTAAGGGTTTTTGGGCTCTCTAGGAAGGATTCGCGAGATGTCATACGCACCCTTGAATCGCATCTGCACTCAGAATTAATAACAAGGGATCAAGACCAAGCATGAATAAGTTTCAACCCTTTGCTTGGAGAAGGGTGGCGCTTTGCGTTTATGGGCAGTTTAGTGCCACTACCTACAGAGCCTGGCACACAGCCTTACAAAGAAGAACATTTGGTTGTCATTCGTCTGTCACAATGCTCGAACCATTTTGAAACGCATGTATGACCCTGACTGACTACGGTACGAAAAAGGCCCAAGAGCAACATTGAGCGCCAATGGCGAGGGGAACAGGAAATCTTGTCTTCCCACCCGGTGAAGAGAGGCCTTGATTTTGAGAAGATGCTACGGTTGGGTACCAAAAGCCTCGAGGGATGATACTGCGCTTTGCGGAACGAGATGACCTACCTCAGTTACCCTCCAGAAGCCGAAAACCCCAAAAAGGCAAGTCAATCCCAGAGTCAAAGCGGGTTGCCTACGGCAAAAAAGGTGGACCTTTTTCAGGATCCCTCTCTGGTCTGAAATTCGAACTCCCCTGAAAGGCCTAAGGGCTCATATCAGGGGCCCATACTTATAACCTTAGATCTTCGGTCGATACCAAGTCTGTCTGACTATAGTTGGATCAGGATACTAGGGTTGAGGGTTCAGGGCTGAAGGTTTAGGGCTGCGTCGCCCGGTTGCTAGGATAACACAAGCCCAAGTTCTCCGAATAGGAGTTCCGCAAATGGGGGACACTAGAATACACCACGATATACTTCACCAAAACCATTCTTATAGGACTACTATAGGGACTCCCGAACTGTTGGAAACTGCTGAAGAGATTTTGCTGCTCAGCATCTTCCAGGCTCAAAATCACAACCTAACACCAGCAAACGTGCAAATGTTAAAGCCATAGCCCTGGGCTTCTTGATCACACATAGTCTTGGAGTCAACCCTACACACTAACCCTGCTTAAGCCCCAAGCCCTTAGCGTATCAACCCTGCTTTTGAAGCTCTTCCCTGCAGTCTGCAGGATGATTTCAAGTTCAGCACGCACTAGGGTGCATTTTTGACCTACCGTGTTGCATGTGATGATGATACAGCTCAAATGGTGAAAGGTCTTCTTAAGCACATATCCTGTACAACTACAAAGCACCGGACCACTCCGGGACTGCGCTACGAGTTCACTGGCATGCCGTTCACAGGGTCCCAGCCAGGGCATTCCGAGTAGATGCCGAGACCGCCGTCTTCTTTCTCACAAAATGTGTACGCACCTTGGCTGCGCATACTAGCACGTATCGTAGTGCTGGTGCTGCTAGCACTGTTGATGCGGGAAATCGTATTGCTACTGTTTTTGCCAATGCGATTTTGCTGCTTCCACAACTATTCTTGCTGCTCTCAATATGTGGGAGCGTCTCAGCGTTACCCCCACGACCGCCCCATGACCCACGTTTCATCCCCACATTTTTTTTTTTCAGGGTTGTCAGGGCTGTCTGTAGAGGCACAGTAGGCCATGTCGCAGGCAGGGTTGCCCATGGCACATGCCCAGGCGGCCAGGAAGTGGGCATCGTCGATGGACGGGCGGCTGCCGGGCGTGCCGGGCTTCGCCGCCGTGAAGCCTGGGTCGAGATTAAATAGCAACACAAGCTATAGTGTTATTCTGTATAGGTTTCATGTAGGAGTAGAATGGCTTGGGGACCCATGTAGAATTGAACATAACTTCACGTTCCTTAGCGGCGGCCCAGAAACGTACCATCATGTCACTCAGGGTCATGTTGCCCTTCGACCCCAGCTTGATGAGGTGATCCGAGTTGCAGATTTCCTTGCCTTTGGCAGTCATGCCCTCGTAATCCTTAGTCATGCTTGGGGACTGGAAAAGGAGATGGAAACCAACACATTGTTTGGGGTTTGGGTATGGTGCTTTTGCGTGGGGGTGGGAGAAGGGGTTGCAGGGCTATTTCTGTGATTATGATGGGGGGCCATACAGGGATCGCTACGAGGATCCATCCCCCTTTCTCAGCTAAGCATGAGTAAGAGTCGTGCTGCAACGCCCTGATCTCCGCAGACAACCAGCCATTGTAGTAACAGAAGTGCTGATCATACGAAGACATTGAGTAGCCAATGTTTGGTAGGTTAGGCCACCGCACGCTTTTGGCAAAATACAGGTAGTCTTTGTTGTAGACGGCATCAGAGCAGCCCTTTTCAAAGTTGAGCTCGCACCATCCGTTTGTTTCGTTATGCTCCTCAGTGGCCTCTTTTATGAAAGTGCTCAGGGGAAGGTTCCCATTTTCGGGATGTTCCCAGTAGCTGCGGTTGCCGCAATCACTGCGTTGCACATAGGAATTGTTGGGGGCGCGGTCTGCATGAGGCATGCTGCAAATAGAGCAGTAACGCCCATTGACATCGATGCTCTCAAAGCTCTCCATCCACTCCGGGGAGTTACCGGGGTTGAGAAGGACCCCACGGTCGAGGGACAGCTGGTTGACCTCACCTTTCCAGTTGATGGAAGATGCTACTTTACGTGAGCCATGCTGCAGCAGTGATAGTCCCTGCTGAGAGTTGGTGAGATCCTCACAACCAATGCCGTTAGCTTCCAGACCAAGCACTGGAAGCAGAATCGGGGCAGCAAGCGAAATGAGAAAGCGCATGTAGACAGATGGGTCTTGGCAGGGGGTGTCGCCTATGACCCTTCATGTAAACTTGAACCAATATGGCCGCGAGTCCATGGCTAGGCTTGACTAGCTTGCAGGAGGTTAACTTCCGTCTAGCACAGCTAAGTGAACAATACAAGGGTATCACTTTTGTTGGGGGGATATCGTTTTGCATGATCTTGGCACACTGCGGTTCTTATACCTATTGCGCTATTGCTTCACTGTGTTTTGCCAGATCCCCTCCTGAATGCTCCACAGACGGGATCTAGGCTTTTGTTCATGCCTGGGTAATTTCATCTCTGCCTTACTTTAGCTACTACACGAGAATACAAGCGGGGCCTACTGGAGACTACGAACCTTAGAGCTACGCTCATGTGAGCTAGAGTCCAAACTCCTAGTATCCCCTTAATAACATCCTATACTATCACCTCTATATCACCCGTTGAAGGAGTTTAGACTATGGCACATGTCATGTTGTGGTCTTGTGTTATGGGTGGCTAGGCCTTACGCCTCCTTAGCTTCACAAACCCTTCCTCCCAGAACCCTACAACCCAAACCATCAACCCCAAACCCCATGAGCACATAGAATGCGCATCAACCCTGCAATAGATCATACACACAGGCTCTGTTCAGAGGAGCTACCTTGCGCCATATATATATATATGTATGTGTACACATAAATATAAACATATGTTATATATATGTGAAAGGGAGGCCCTTTGCAGTCGTAATGTTCTGGCAACACAGGCGTACCTGGGGTTTCTTGTTTAGGGTTTAGGGCTGCGAAAGTTCTACCCAGACCTGCTCAATGTTGGAACCTCTCAACCCCAGCCTGTAGCCAAATCCTCGATCTCCTTTCTTGGGCCCCTTTCCTGACCATAAAAAACACCAATGACAAACATCCAGGGTACAGGAAAGCCCTAAACCCTTTTGCAACAGGCTTCAGATCACCCCGGTGGCGACTCCTCCTGCACGTTCCCTAAACCCTAGACCCTGAACCCTAAGCCCTGAACCCCAAACCCTAAACCGGCAGGATTGCAGGCCTTGTTCATGACCTAAGCGCGGCAGTCTATCTTGATGATTCATGTTCTTTTCCGGCTATGTTCCTAAAAGTCGGAACCTGAAATTGAGCCGACTTGGGGCTTTTTTTAAACATAAATCAACATCTGAGTAGCGTTTTATTTGGTGGTTAAACCCAGTAAGTTTACATTCCTTATATAAAATACTATACCCCAAAAGGAGGACTCTATATTGGGTACCATAGTATCCCCAAATAGAATACTACTCATCTGGGGGGTCGTTGCAATTTAGCCAACAGGATCAGGAGCTGTATCCGAAATTGATCAGGCTTCTAGAGTATGGTATAGTTCAAAGCCTGAGAATTTGTCATGAGCGGAGGTCAGGGCTTAGGGAGCTTGTGGTTGGATTTCAAGCCCTACTCTACTGTGGGGGCAGTATGGAATGAGGGAATATATTATATAGCGATTATGATATATACCCTTATTCCCTACTAAGCGTGTTTTTGAAGCGAGTTTGAGGGAAAGCATGCTTCTCACCACATACGCGGTCGATGATGGCCTTGGTGCAGTTGGTTCTGACATAGCAGCGTTTCTGCTGAATTTCGCCCACCCCAAGAGAAAACAATAAACTCAAGCGCATCTGCCAAACATAATAGTACTACGTAGTAGTAGACTACTTTGAATTTGGGCGCGTACGGGGCTTTATTCCCGTCCAACAGAACTTGAGGGCCAGGGTTTCACAACATGTCCTTTCCGATTGCCCATCCCTCCACGCAGTCAGAATCATTTGAAGCTCTTGTCGGCTCATACTCCTTGCGATGACCAGGATTATCACCATTACTAGCATCAATACCATGACCGTTTGCGCTGTGCGGCTTTTGACTTATCACCTGGCGGCCACACTATTCTTCTAGAAAGAGACCTCATTACTTAGATTCTTGCTAACCTGGCAAACGACCCACAAATCCTGAAGACGAATACCGTTCCGCTGAAGCATAGGAAGGTTGGAAGCGTAGACTTACTGGCCCTTAGCGGGGAATGAGGAAATAGAATCGCTATATAGTCCCTTTCTGAGCTATAGTCTCATATAGTCTAAACTCCCATCATTAGGCCCTAAGTAGTCCCTTACATAATCTCCTATATAACCCCCTTTTAGGAGTTCAGACCCTAACCCTTAAACTCCTATATGATCCGAGATATAACCCATTTAAGGAGTTTAGATGCTGGCTCATATTCCCTATACTAACCCCGAGTAAGTCGGTCGGGGATGAATGGAAGCTTCAGAAGGATCAACTATACAGGCACCAGCAGGGTTCAGGGTTTAGGGCTTAGGGTTTAGGGCTAGATAGAGAAGTCTGAGGACAGAGGTTTATTTCACTGGTTTCACACTCGGCTCCCAAGAGCAGGGTGCAAGAAAGGTAAAGGTTCACAAAATCACTTTTGAACAGTAAGACAAATCGGGGACCAAACAAGACGACAACCCCGTATGGGGGGATGAGGTACATAAATCGGGGGCCCCAATTAAGACCTCATATATTCCAGCTTCCCAACACTTTCGCAAACCCCCCTCCATGTATCGCCAGCTTGAAAGACTCCGCTGGGGGCCTGGCTTGTCAGTGGCTCAAGCAGCCCACCCTACTCCGATGTGTCTGGGCACTGCAAAGCCGTCGGCAAGGCACACCTCAAACCTTTGACCTCAAGCCATGTGGTTTTGTTTAGTTGTAGGCTTGGAAGGCATGATTTCAGAGCAGAAATGTATAGACACGATAGCAGCAGAAATCCCCGCATAAAGTGCAGGAGTGCAAAAGATCTCTTGATTTGCTCTCGCCTCCAATAACTGAATTGAACCTTTACACTGACAGCTCCTATTCCACAGCGCCTTGCAGTGGAAGATGCCCATGGGCCCATGGAGTTATCATCAAGTGGTGTTGCAGCTACTCTCGATCTGCGACGCCCGAAACTGCCAACCCCAGCCACCACCGTAGGCAAACCGGCTGCCCAAAACCACTGAAAATGGTCAACGACGTATTATTCTACAAACGTTGGGGTTCAGGTACGCGCAAGAGGATCTTTGCATGCTGGATGGCACTACTGCCAGTACTATTCAAGCTTGAACTGGCAATTTGCCCGGCTTCGGGCTTTGCACCCCGTGTCAAAGTTACGGTCTTTCTGAATGGGGTCCCAATATTGAGGGGCGATTCCTTGGCAGTACATACGAATGCTATTTAGCCACATGCCCAGAATTATCTGCTGTCCCCCCTCACAGGCCCCTGTGCAAGGTATGGGGCTCACGTCATGGGGGCCCTTGGAAAGCTAGGATTCGCGGCCCCTCAAGCCCTCCCACTTAAGCTCCTAGGTCTGCCATGATCCAGGAGCTTGAGACGGCAATCTTTTTCGTCAATAAGAGCATTAATTCGAATAATCAGTTGGGAGTAACAGTGTGAAACATGCACAAGCTTGCCACCTGGGACATAAGTCCAGGCTGTGGCTGAGAATGGACGTGCTGACGCTGATACTGCTCGAGCCTTTCAAGGTCCCGACTGTCTTGAATGCTTCCAAATATGGTCACTTGCAATGGGAACTACAGCGTGCATTAGTACTTGAATGAACAATGATGCAGCGTACGAGAATACGGCTGCCAGCAACAACATTTCTACATATCTTGCACGCGCATAGTGCTTGTCAACTATGTGTTCATCAAGTTTTCTTTCAGCTCGTGCATCAAGCATCTGCTTGCACGTGCCCGCGAAATGCTCGGCATTGGCAATTTTTAATGAGTGTCGACAACAGTATGGCAAGATACCTATGTATCCTACGTAAATGCTCTCTTTGTTGACGCTTTTCGTTCTGGGCCTCAGACAAGCTTAGTGGCATTCAACATGTCTGCATCTTTTGTTCAGCACGTATGTCTTGATGAGACGGTCCCAATCAATCAGGAAGCTTCTGCTGTTCCACTTTGAAATACTTAAGATAACAGGACCTTGTTCCACAGAACCCCTCAAAACGGACTGATGGCAGAGACCTTCATAGATGGGACCAGTATCCCAGTGCAAGACTATGACAATCCATGCACGTTGTATACGATGGCCTGGTCTGCTATTTAAGGCTCCCAGATTTCAACCAGTCCTTAACCCTAAACCCTAAACCCTTGACCCGAGCCCTACACTGCCCGACATCGCGCAGTTTACCTAATTCGGTGCGACAGGCCCGGCAAATATTTTGCCCTGCCTACGCGCGAATCAGGTGAAAAGTAACATCAGGAAGCTCTTTTTGGACACCTTCTTGTGTGGGGAGCATCATGAAATGTCGGATGCATGATAAATTTTCTTGCCTTTGTATGGCCCCTAGCCCGATCACCCTGATGTAGTGCAGAGTCAAGCCGCTGTATGATAAAGACAGAAAAAATGTGGGGACTTGTCGCATGGGTTCCTCAAAAAAGGAGGCCCTGGCAGACCATAGGGATCATGGGGTTCCTACAAAAGGTTCGCTTAGGTCCTGGGTAGTTTGGAAGCCTGACTCCCTTTCAAGGTCCAACTGCGCGGCTTGACTTCGATCCTTGCCTGCATGGAACTCAGGATTGCGGGCTGCAATCCAGCCTCGCATCCTCTGTGAATTGTCATGGGAATCTATACCAGACCCAGGAAGTGCCAATCAGCTCCAGTGACCCCCAAACATGATGGACAACCACTTGCACTAGGCTGTTACAAGGAGCGGTTCTACTTGCTCTTATTGCTGAAGCTTGAGGTGTCATGGTGGAGGAGAGTCCTTCCCAGGACGTGGTAAACACTCCTATGAAAATGACTCCCTGGTGCTAGTAGGGAAAGGGGGACCACACAGGCACAACTTTAAAAGTTTTTGCAGGACGTACTACCGGCAACCATCTCTCAATCCCCACTAAACGCCAAGTAGATAACCCACGCGTCAGCTTCCACATCTGCAGTGAGGTGAGCCACGGTTGTTCAATGATGCTTGGGCATT